TTGATGCAGTACTGAGCTGGTTTGAAATTAAATTCATCCATTTTTTGGGGGAAAAAACAAGAGTTTTGGAAACAAAGGTTGCAAAATTTTCCACATGATACTCTTTGTCTTTCATTTTCCTCCAATTAGATTGGTTACTTTAAACAAGCCTTGAAATCTGATTGGTTGTTTTGTTTTCAGTGTAGCCTCCTCAATGGCTGGGAAAATGATGCGATTTAAAGCAAAAAATGGCATGATTCGTGAATAAATCGCACCAATTAGAGCTAATCAGATTACAGGAACCACTAGTGATTACATTTCCTTGTAAATAAGTTATGAGAATTTGGTGCTATGTCGATCAAGATAACAAATTCTACCTGATAAGTTTGAGTATCCTCATCACCTGTTTGCTTGATAATGCATGGATATTATAGGCAGAAGTTACATATTAATCATGTCTGGAAGTTAATGGGTTAACATTCTATTTCAGAACTATTAAATCTTGAAAATCAATGTACATGTACTTAAGGATAGATGTAAATGTACCAGTAATCACTAAGACATCAAGAAATGAATGTAACGCTCCTAATACCTTCTCCTCTAACTGCTGGGGTTTTTGGGATGAACTGACCACTTTCTTCTGCCCTAACACTAATGGGCTTGGAGATCCTTCACGACTTGGTCGTAAGGCTGATTCTGATACAGGAGAATTCCTTGATGAACCACTATCATTAGTACTTCTCTGTATTTCTTCCTTCCACTGGCGCCGAAATGATGCAAGCTCTTCCTCAAGTCTCCCCTCATCCTAGAAAAAGTCAGTAACAGTGAAAAAAACAGTTAACTTGGCTACATGCATGACAACAGGGCGCACAATATGTGTGCTGTTCACTTACACAAGCATGACCTGTCAAGTGTCCCATCACACTGTCCAGTGTTTGCCCTCAAATCAGGCTCAGGGACTAACCAATCATGCTTTAAAATTTTGTTTTAATTTTCATTAGTCCCATAAGAGTGGTACCATAAAAGGCTTTATTTCAAAATCGTACAATTTTCAGAATTTTCAGCATAGAATTTCACAATTTTCAGGTCGTAAATTCTAGTAAACAACAATTCAAGCATGCAAGAAATTTGTAATCTTTTTGCTTTGTTTTTCATTTTTGGACAGAACAGTATTACCTGGTAAAGTTAACAAAGTTGTAATAAACTCTTTCTTCATGCACAATTTGTGTGTCTGCATACTATATTAGAAAAGAATTGGGTCATGCTTTAGCTAAGTGTAGATTGAGTTATGGATGCTCGGAGGAAGTTTGGAGTGCACTCAAGTTGCTAGAGTTGCTCTCTGCTGTCCTCGGCCACTCTGACGCTTCTCTTGTGCTCTCCAAACTTCCCGCGTGCATTCATAACTAAAATACGCACGCTAAGCATGGATCAATGGTTCTTTACTAGAGTAATATGATAACACGTCGACACTGCTAACCAGCAATTCATCTCTGTGTAAGTGGATATCAAGGCTTCCCTTACAACGCATTGTAAAAGAGACAATTAACATCTTCAAATATGTTCTAAAATCGATCAACGAGGTCGCAAATGTTTATTTTAATTCTTTTTATTATTATTATTATTATTATTATTATTATTTCATTTATTGCACAACACAAGCAGAAGTTGCATTAACACGATTGATGAGGAAAACCGCGTAAAACGGGCATCAAAAGGAAAAAGTACCCCATGGCAAAGCTCTATACTCACCGCCATCTTATAGTGATATTGTGATGCCGTAACAGATTATGTCTTCCAGTTGACCAACAAAATAACAAAAATAATTTGTTAGTTTACACTTGTAGAAGACCGCCATGTTTGTTTCCTGATAGAAGCGCAAAAAGATAGAAGAAATCTTATGATTGGTTTATTTAGTTTACCAATCAAAAATGACGATGTAATGTGGGAGACAAAGACGCGTAAGACTGGTCTGGAGTGATCGAACCAATCATAATCGAGAAGAATGAAAGCGGTGTATTTCAAATTTTAGAAATTCTTTCATGATCAGCGAGGTACACATGTAGTAGTTTTATGTAATTTTGTTTCCTTGTTGAGAATGGCAGCAACTGACAACATAAGGGTTGCTATCAGGGTTCGTCCTCTAATAAAAAGGTAAGCGTCGATTTTGTGTAAGTGTTTATCGATTACAATGTTCAGATCACTTTCTGTGGAGCATAGCGCAAACAAGCTGGCCGCGCCAACAGACGGTCTGTTTCTAAATTCGTTTTTGTGACCGATCGTATCGATGTAATTCCCGAATTTGATATTATGAACTCTGTTATTAATGTTTTATTTACTGCCAACGCGATATTCAAATCGGTTGATCCATTTATTTCGTAAATGCCATCAGTGGTTGTTCTTTTTGTCTTTCGACGCTTCAGATTTAACATTAACATTCAGCTTTTGGATATCATCATGTTCCTTGAAAGATTCTGAAAACTGCAGTCATAGATTTTTGTATTACGTTCCGCATTGAAATATTTCTATGTTTCAAAAACTTAAACACGTCGCAATAAAAATGCGTCACATTTGGTAAAGAATTATGGATTTAATTTACCCTATTCACCCAGGCTTATTAAAGCAAAGTATTACCTTCTAAAGGGATAACCAACACGTTAAAGAACACCAGGTAGGGTCAAACAGCCCTATGATAAAATACATTCCATGAGTGTGTAATGAACTAAACACTATGGATATCATTCATTTTTATTTCTTTAGGGAAAATGATTTTCATCAACCAATACACTGGAAGGTTGATGGAAACACCATTACACAATTGTCGAATGCAAAGATACTGCCAAACTCATCCTACTTTTTTGGTAGGTCTC